CCGCTGGCAGACCCGAGCCTCGATCCCGGAGAGCCTCCTTACCATTAACCTATCCGGTACCCGTTCCGTTCCGTCAACCTGACGTCATCGTAATTCGTGATCATTCTATACGCACGCATAGCGCCTCGCGCGAACACCATCGCGTCGTCCACCTCGAGTGATCCGCAAAACAAGATGGAATTAACGCACACGGGAGGGCTTTTTTGCGCGGAATCGGCTTTTATTAGATTACCGCTTCTCGGACAACCGCACCGTCTTCTTGTTAACAGTCTGAGCGCTACGAATATTCTCTCTGGCATAATACTTTCTGCCGCGAGGATCTTCAAAATAAAATATTAATTACTGTTTTTAACATCTATTTTTTTGCTCTAAATTTTTCAACACTTTTAATATAGTTGGAGAAATAAAAAATGAAAAAAGACGCGATATGAAAATTTCGAGAAACTTTATTCTAAGAGTAATAATGAACTTCAAGGCATGTATATCGCGCTTTATGTGCAAGGTATTGCGGCCGTGTCCCCATCCTTGTGTTTCATGCGGTGCGCAGCAGAGTTCGTTAGCGTCCGGCTGTTGAATATCATGGCTTTTTAGCCTGCAGGTGTCATTAGGGTGCGGACGGACGAACGAACGCTGATTGGTCTCGGCCGATCGCCTTCGGGGACACCGGCCCATCAGCTGTCCCATTCGCGCCAACGATGCCGACGACGAACGACTCTCGTACGTCTATCCGCTTCCATCTTCGTGGAACGCGCGGCCCTCGCGAACCGGCGCACTTTCCCAGACGCGTTTTACCCGATAACGCGTGTGAAAGGATCTCTAATCAGTTAATGCGTTTCAGTTTCTCAGACTCCGTTTGCTTAACCCTGTCTCAATGCGGCTATTAATAATACACCTAATTGGTACAATCGTGATGTGACGCGACTAATTCAGTTTTTGCAGAATATATTTTTATATAAATAGAACTGAATGATGGTAAAATTATAGTGGTAACGTGTCGAGAAACAGAAATTAAATTTATTACACAGAATATATTTTTTTACATATAAAAGATACATATATATTACGAAATTAATATCTCGAAAAAATTTCAACAAGTTATTTAGAAAGATTATTTATTTTAGGTTATATATATATATATTGTATTTTTTTATCATACAAAAATTTTAAATTTTGTTTATGCATGTTTGTTTCGCTTTCTGTCTCTTTTTTGCCTTCTTTTATAATCAAAAACTTGTGCAAAATTTTTCAAATTCATCGAAATTATATTCCAAGATAATTTTGCACGTGAATAACTGCACACATCGACACGTTATACTTATTAAAACTCGTTATCTGGCATCATCTATTATCCAACTAAAGCAACGTTTTGCGAGATTCCAACCGCGCGAATAATATATCGTCTCGATCACCCACCCACCCTTGCCTAAACACTCCCACGTATTAATCTTCCATCGTCCGGGCTACGAGAGCTCTCGTTAGTTAGAACCGTATAACGTAGCTAGGCCTCCCAAAAGAAGTCCTCCCGCCGTGTAAATGGACCTCGTTGGCGAAGACGAGATGAAAGACCGCGCAGGTAGAAATCAGCCACGTGAAAGAAGTCAGTCTATGAAGAATCGAAAAAAAAGGACGAGGCGAATGGACGGAATAGGAGCGCGAGGGCGGGGGCGGGAGAGAGAGAGAGAGAGAGAGAGAGAGAGAGAGAGAGAGAGAGAGAGAGAGAGAGAGAGAGAGAGAGAGAGAGAGAGAGAGAGAGAGAGAGGATTCGGCGCGCTAGGATCGGCGGCGAGGCGAGAGGATTCGGCGGGCTCGAGATATCGCATTAACGAGGCCCGGTGATGGGCCGGGGAGCCTAGATCCACGTCTAATTACATCCGCGCAGAGCGAGGGAAACTCGTTTCTCGCGTGCTGAAACGCTTCGAATCGAAATTATGGATCTGCGGCAGCGCCGGCTTGACTGACGCATGACTGGCTGCGGGTTAAGCGAGTCAACGAGTAAATGAGTCCGAATTACGTGGGCGTGTCAATGCCGGGAAAATGAGCTACGCGAGCCGTTTTATGGAGGTATCTTCTGAGATTATGCAAAACAACGCCGGATAATACGCTCGCACGGTCTATCTTGGCGGCACGGTCGACGACACGTGCGACTACGTACGCTCGCACGTGTTCTCGTATAGGGACAAATTAGTGTGCGTCCATGAGGGATACATTTCAGGTCATTCCTGAGTGAACTTACTTGACTTACCGGTAATTTCGATCAGTTTGTAGAATGCACTTCTGATATCTCCGACAATCTTATTTAACATCAATGAATTGTCACTTTTATAGATATTTATATAAATTTAATTTTAAGCGGCACGAGAAATGATTTTACCTTAAAATAATATCTATTTAATAATAACAATAATAATAATAATAATAATAATATTTAATAATAATATCTATTAAAGTAATGTGATTTTATTTTATTTTTTTGTCTTGATTCATATTTAATATTTTTGCGATAATATCGAGATGTAATTTTGTGATGTAATTTTGTTGTAAATTGACGTTTTCAAACAATTGTGTTCCCTATTTCTCGATATTACAAATAAAATTATACCGGGAGCGAAACTATCGCTAGATTCAATTAAAGGAAATGAAGAGACAAGTTTTTAATCGAAGCGGTAGAAAGTTTCGTTTTCAAACCCGGTGATTAAACGGAAGCGATTTGCCTGCTACCGACCGATCGATAATTACCACGAAATTAATATTTCGATAATCCGATAAGATTCATTTCACGCACGTAGTCTACATATCTATATTGAATCTATGTGGAATAAATTTGATTCTCGGGATTCGCATTAACGAGTATCATTTCGCAATGCTATTTAATAACGAGCAATGTATCGAAAATAATTAGGATTAAATAGGCCATAAATTAATTACGTCCAATGTGTCGAGAGTGGATATCGATCGCGATATTAAAAAGTCTCGCGATAAGGATGTAAACGTACGAATCGATTATAGATTGTTGCGATTAAACGATAATTCGTTAATGTCGTGCGTTACTCGTGCGATCTCGTAGAGCCGCGACTTAATGCGCTTCGAGGTGCATGAAGGTCGATGAATGATATTGCACATTCCGGTCGGAGATCATCTGAATTATTGGTGTATCGGATATATCGGAGAAAATTGACGGTGGTCATCATCGCCATTATGAATTCTTTATTTGGATGTTGCGGCGTCTGAATTACAGGGCGGTACGAGCTACCTTGCTTACTGCTTCATATATGGGCCCGTTGATTTCAGCGATGGCTGAGAACCGCCTCGCGTACGTTCAAGTCGGTAATCGTATTATACATATTTTTTTTCCGACTTGTACACCGACGATTGTATAAAACATCTTTTCGCACTCTAATTTTACGAGCTTAAGAGTACTTGCGATCGATTAATCGTTTGAATTTTTTTATTTGTCCGACCTTACGCTTTTTAAATTCGCCTCTCTTCGGATTATCGAATCCTTCGCTTCTCGACGATCGCATGTATCGATCAGGCCGATCGTAACGAGCGTAATAAACAGTCGATCTTTTTAAAGCACCGGATATTTGAGAATTTTTGCAAATCCACGCAGACATGAATTTACGTGTATAAATGTGCGGATGGAAATCTTTAGAAATTCTTTATAAAATATAAGTATATTGTCTACACGTATAATCGCTTTATATAGTTAATTTCATATCAACGAGTTTCACAATGCACGATATATAAACAGCTCGACATTATCACAACTCGCTTCCTGTTGCTTGAATATCTGATGCTAAACGGAACCATTTGATATGAGGCCTCGTTAATGAGCCTATCATTAACCTGTCGTCATTATCTCTGATATAAAACGTGTGCTGCTGCTAGCGCAATAGATTAATCGAGTAGAATCTAGGATGTTTATAGCGGATATGATTACGTGTATTACACGCGTTAAGTATATGCTGATTATATGTCTTGGTTGTACTTCGTACACCCTCAATACTTCTAATAAGTACCTGGCGGCTTCCTACAGGTTTATATGTAGTTTACATTGCTCACATTTTTATATTTTACATTTTATATTTTAAACACTTGCTTCCGTTCTATTGTCTATGTTAAGCTTGTCTTAAAATTTTCTTTCAGCTTTCTTTAAGCTGCTTTTATATAACAAGATATTAGGGGATTAAATTTTAAAAGTATAATTAAAATTAACAAAATTTTTTGGATAATTATTTATTTTTTAATTTAAAATGGATTTTATTTTGATAAACGTTTAATTTGCCATTTTAATTATCTGAGAATTACATTAATCGTTTGTCAAACTCGTCATTATTAAGAAAAAAGATTGACTTTGCTTAATTTTTATATAGGCAAAAAATAAGCATCTGTAGATCTTGTATTTGTGGTTTGCAAGCTACTCAGTTTGTAGATACTCCGATCTATCGGCAACGAAAGTTCGGTTATGACGAGTGCCAGACTCCGCACGAACGGATACAACAGGAAAAAGGGGCGAAAATGACTTCATCTTAATAAATTACATCTCTGGGTAAACCTCGCGAATGGCTTCAAAAAGATTCTCGGAAGGGCCGCAGCCTGGTACATGCTATTTTTGGAGAATAATTCCTTTTCATCTCTATGTATGCGCGTTTGTGACTCTTTACATGCACGCCAACGAGCCTCGAGTCTTTTTTGCCGTGCACAGTATTACGCAAAACGCAATAAAATGTAAATTTTACTTCATTAAAGCGATCCGAAGAAATAACACGATCTTCGTATGTAAGACTTTTTTTTATTTTGAAATCTTACAGACTCGGTTCGATCGATAACATTTATTTTTCTATAATGAACGTGTAAGATTCTTTTACCATTAATTTTGAAAGTCAATAATTTTATCTACGTCATCGAGAAACAAATATCGTAGATGGGAGATTCTAGGAAGATTGACAGAAGAACAGATGATGTGTGAATTAAAGGTGAAGAAGTTGATACGCAGATAATTTCAATAATGTGTTTCTTCCATTTATTTAGCATCGCTATACACTGTACTAAGTCGATTTATATACGCGCTCCTAATTTACTCTCACGCATCTCACACTATCACTTTACGAATCTCACCACGTATGTAGATATACATCTTACGTACTCGCTCCTAAAATTCACTAATTAAAGTCATAATCAGGTATATTGCAGTGTCCCATTTATATGTTTACGATCTTTTTTTTTTATTCTAATCATATATAACGGCTCTATCATGTTTATATGTAATGTTATCAAGGGAACGATGCATACGATATATACAGTATATTTACATAATGGCGCCACAGAATGCGTGGTTCTTTATAATTTAAGGAATAATATTCGCTTAATAATTTATTATCGACGGTTTTAACCGGCCTCCCTCACACGGTTCACACCCTCCCTTATTTTCGCGATGATAATAAATACAATATAATACACCGCGCTCTCCGCGCTTCATAAAATTGTAGCCAGACTATACAACAGTATAATACTCCGCGCTTTTCATTTTTCAAGCCGTAAATTACGACATAAAACGCTACTTTTTTTCAGTTCTAACAAGCACAACGAAAATTTCTATTGAAATTTATAACTTTTACTTTTATCGTTTCTTCTGCTACATCGTATTTATGCTTTTGTCACTGCTTTGTACCATTGTAGAGAATATTTGCTTATCGAAAAATTGAATGCAACAAGAGCGTAAATCATTCTACAAAAATGAGCTTGTAGGTTTAATCGTAGTATATTATTAAGCAATGTTATAAGTAAGTTCGAGAAGATTATTGTAAGATTTTTATTCGCATATTTTTTTTTATTTTTTTTTTAAATTTTTTTAAGGAAGGGTACTAAATTACGTCAAAGGATTTAATCGCACATAAAAAAAAAACTATACAAAATTTATACATTGACGCATAAAACAATTTTCGTATATGCTTTTCAGAATACGTCGTAATACGACATCGTATCACTGTTTGATCTTCTCGATCGAAGATACCATTACATGAGTAACTGTCCATTGTCTAATTCGTGTATCGAGTCTCGATTGCACACAGAAGATCGAAAAAGAGCAACATTTTTTCGCGAATCGATCTCTACGATTTCTCATCCATGGAGTTTGGCAATGGCCGTTTCTTTAGGATTCCCAGATCTTGCACATTCTCTAGGAAAGTCTTGTGATGTTGAGCGACCAAAAGTGGATTCACAGTCTGTACGTCCTTTTTAAGCTCCTCCATGTCCCTCTTGAGCTTCGCCCTTCTGTTTTGGAACCACGTGATCACTTGGGCATTGCTGAGACCCAGCTGAGCGGCAATCTCGTCCCTGTCGGCCGGACTCAAGTACTTCTGGTACAGAAATCTCTTCTCCAGCTCGAAGATCTGCTGATTCGTGAATGCAGTCCGACTCTTGCGCTTCTTTTTCGGTTGCTGGCGATTGTTGAACAGGTTCAAGTGATTAGCTTGTTCTGAAACACAAGAAATTAGATACGGTTAGTCACGTATTTTCTTAATGTACATGTATGTCAAATTTAAAGCTTTTTTTCTGATTTCAATCAGTATGTGATTCTTAGTTGATATTAAGAGTTTCGATGAATATATTTTTGCAATTTGAATAATATTTGAAAATGTTCAAGTTTTGACGCAAAAAATAGTATTTAAATAAACGCAAAATAATTTATCCTATAAGTTGCCATGTGTATGCAAATAAATTAATTTTTTACAAGAAATAAGACAAGACAAATTTGAACGTTAAGAAGGAAAGATGATTATCTTTTGATTATTTTTAAAAATAATCAAAAGAATGTTTTATGACCGACAATTTTGTTCAATGATTTACACGATTTCTCACGAGATCTGAAAGTGATTCTTTTGCGATAACACTTATACTGCATTACTGGTCATTATACGCACAGATAATGAATGAGCAAAGGCGCGCGCGTATTGCGCAAGACTGCAAACGAAACGTCGATTCAGCAGCAATTAATTCCTGCCGATAACAAGACCGTCCGTCTCGGCGAGCGAGTCTCTCAAAGAGAAACGCGATGCGATAATTAGCTACCGATACGTATAGATGTATTAAGATTTTATCGCTGACGTCGTCTAAGTAATTGCTCGAGACTTTTATGCGGCGGAAAAATTATTCGCGTAAACGCGTTAGGCGTAAAATACGATACGGAAAATGCGAAGAAAAAAGTATTGGAGAATTAAATGAACGTATAAAGTTCTGTGTGCTTTATCGTTTTCGCCACTTACTTAACGAACCATACGCGTGGTTAATTCCACGATATGAGAATAAAATAGATAATGTGTAATAAGAGAAATATTTATTTCTTACATTTCATGTGAATTTACAAAGATGTTGGTAAATGCAGAATATATACATGTAGTGATAATAGGGACAAGATAATTGGCAATTAATTCCACGGGATTGCCAATAAGCGGCAACGCATGCCGGTCAGAGATTAAAGAACACGCAGCTGCGTAATAAATAACGGTTTTGGGAGCAGTTGTTTCTCTATTAAACAGGATTAACGATAGATTATACATTTTCAATTTTCCTTTTGCACATTACAGATTTAATGATGAAGTAAGATCTTAAAAAGTGTATTCGATTTCGCTACGTGTTTGAATACTAGTTGATTTAAATTTTCTAAAAAATCTATTTATATACTTTTAAAATGCATACAACTTTTGAAACATCATGTACACAAATTTACAGTGTGTGTGTACAATACTAAAATTTCATAATCCCGTAGCGATCGAAAGAGAGCGGGACATGCAAAGCGAATCGAAGTTTTTTCAGGCGACCAAGTTGGAATTGTGGTTAGAGAATCATTTCTAAGGGTCTCTACAAATTAAATGTATTTTCGAGACGTGGAAGGGTTCGTCCCATAAAAGTATTACGCATTCGTTACGGTGCTCAGACGGAATTCCGGAGAGCCATAACTATCATAGTTATGCCAGTGATCTAGCTAAGATTGTAATTCAAAGTGTTTCCCATTCACCTTTGGTATTAGATTTCAAAGCAATTTGTGGTTACAATAGATCGTATTTAAATATAAATAATTCCATTTTGCAATATTTCTCTGTCATTCGCGTGCAACATTTATGTACTTTTAAATAAAACATATAATGCATTATATTAATCGATCATATTCTTCGTATCTAGACTATCTGGAAAGAAATGAAATACAAGAAATTAATTAAATAATTGAACAATTGAGATTTAAATTTTAGAGATAGTCGACATTTTAATGGTTTAATAATTTAGTACGTTGCTTTATTAATTTTTTCTTTATCTATAAATAAATGTCTATAAATAGACGTTTTGTAAGAATAGATTGCCATTTCAAGAGTTCTGACTACCGTTTCTTATCGAACTCGTTGCGAGCGCATGTTATCGCGGTAATTTTCTTAAATCGGTCTGTTATTAGAAATTAATTGCCAGTTTAAGGAGCAGCCAGTTAAAGTAATCATCTGCGTCGTCATATCTTATCGGACTCTGTGCAATAATGGTGAACGTATTGTAGCTTAGTTTTTAAAATACATGTGCTGCGATTGTTATTTACCAAGATTTGAAACACGAAAATTTAAATAACATATTTCAATTTGCAAATACATTTTATATTATCTGTGTAGACACTTTGAATCATAATACATTTTTTATTCTTATATTAATCGTTAAATATTAAGTATTAAAAGTTGAAAAATATATCATGAAAATTAATTAATTTCCATCAGTTTCAATAAATTATAGACTTTCGAAAAAAATTAAATTAAATAAATTACTTAATTAAATAAAACCTAAAAAAAATAATTTATATTACAAATTTATAATATATATTAATAACGAGTAGTATGTAATATTGTATCTTAGTGTTCATTATTGAATTGATTGAAAATCATTAAGTGATTAAACCTATCAAAAACCTACCGCAGCGGTATAAAGCTTGACGAGAAAATTGCCGTATCGATTCTATCAGCTAATGCATTAATCGTTTCCTAGCGAAGCAGCTTAAAATGATCACCGCCGTCGTATCTCATTATGTGGATGACGTCGCGTAATACCGGTTCCCGTTTTACAATTTCTCGTTATGCTCGCGTTGACCCTTGAACGAGGAAAATATTGTCAATTAACGTCGTTAGCCGATAACCGGGGCGCCCTCGTGCATTTTTTTGTCTTGCATGTTTACCGGAGAGTATACGCGGATGGACGTTTTCGCAATGGCGTTAGCCATTAGGAAATAATCGAATCGAATGACGAAAAAGCGAGGCGGGCGCGATGAGTCGTGGACAAAGTAGTCGAGGAGTCGCTCCAGGATCAAAGGCCGCCGCCATCGGTCACACCTGCGCAACCTGATCGTACAGTCCGCCTTAAAAATTCTCGCTGGCGGATACGAGCACAGTGTCATACATATATAAGATGATTAGACACATCGCACTTCTGGCATGACGGTTTATCTTATTTAAAAGTTCAGATCCGCATTCTTACATCTTAATCTTATATCTCACATTTTAATTACACTATTTGGAAATTTAAAAACTTTACGAATATATTTAGCGTCAAATACAGATCGAAAATGTAGAGCAAACATATTTCCTCTCAAAACTCACGTTTCATTTAATGAAAAGTTGATATGTATTTGGAGTCGACCATCAATAAAAATATAAATATTTGAAATAATACATGCCTGAAGAGATTAAGAATGTTAATCATAAATACATTATTCAGAATTTTATTACTCTCTATCGAGCAAATTCTCAAATTGTTTTGCTTGCGAAAACGTCTAATTGACGAAGGTACATAATTATTATATCAAAGAAATAAAAATGCAGCTAATTTTGCGCAAGAAGTAGATTGGATATGGCTAGAATGTAATCGACTATCTGATCGCTTATTCTATTTATCGGCCAATCAATTCAAATATATTTATGATTGAAATCAAGTTAGGTAGATAGAAATATTAATAACCAACGTATATGAGAGAAGATTAATTTCCAACTTATGTACTTCGGAAAAATAAATAATTAAAGAGTTGAAGACCATCAAGCATTTTGTAATAAAGGTGAGGCTTTCATGAAAGACATTGATTCGATTATACTGCAATCTAAGTCTTCATTTACAAAGAAATAAAAAAAGCTGTTAAATAATCTATAATATTAATATTCAAAATCATATCATTTGTGTAATAATTTAAGTTAAGATTATAATATTTTTAATCTAATTTCTCTGATACTGATATTAATTTTTTATTAATCTATTACATATATTAATATCTATTACACATATTATATCTATTACACATATTAATACATAATATCTATTACATATATTAATTATAAATTTACATTCAAGGTGGATTAAAATAATAATGTAATTGTATTCTTCATCGAGAATCATTGAATATCAAGGAATCATCTCACACTTATTTTCCTCTTCTGATTCTGATAACAATTATTTTAGGTTTTTACTTAAAGTCAGGCCAAGCTCTAGCAATATGAATAAAATCGAAGACAAAGCGAACGATTTTTGCACGACAAGGACATGGAGACACGACGACGAAACGGTAAACGAACGGACAGACGGACGGAAGAAGCGGTGCGCGTCGAGATATTAGTTTCTGCGGTCGGCTCTCCGCAGAGATTTAATTCGTTTGATGTTCACGAATTCGCCGCTTCGACTATCTTTTCGCAACTCGTATCTTCACAGTCTCTTTCTCTCTCTCTCTTTCCCTTTAGCTTTCCAACAATTTTAATAGTCGTCGTCAATACTTTCTTTTTTAAAATTTTCTCTCTCTTTCGACGAAAAAAATTTTAACATATCTACATTCTTTGATATTTTATTAAAAATATTCATTTAAAAAATGCATTTATTTTACTCTTCAAATTTTATTTTTCATTGAAATTAGTTGGTAATTTTTTCAAAATTATACGAAATTAAAACAATTAACAACTGTAAAATGAAATATAATACATATATATTTATTAAAGAATTGTATAAAAATAAATTTTTCTGATAAAGAGCAGCCGACGCGACCACCTGCCGTGCGTATAAACCTGACCATATCCGTGTACGACATCTAGGGTCACAGATGGCGGCGAAATTCGCTTGATTAATATGCTGACTTGGCCGAAAACTTGGTTTAATTACGCGAGTCGATATACTTTCGTACCTGTGCTTTATCTTCTGCAATTAATTTAACAAACTGCTCTCATAATTAATCGCAATAATTAATAACAGATTGATCTTTTCATTATTAAAGTGATGCAATCCGTATAAAGACTACCAATTTTCAAAAGTAGGCTACACGACTTCAACTATATTATATATATATGAAAAATTTCTAGAAAAAATTCATACATTCTCTATAATTTATAATATCTTTTACAGTAGTAACACTATAGCAAAACTATTCGACTATTGATTTTTTATTCATAATTTGAATTGTATTGATTCAACTTCACT